TACTCCCATCCTACCAGCTAGCCCCCTCACTGGTAGGACGTGTGATAACCCACCATCTTCTCCAACTCACCTTGTTTTCTTTTTGAGGTACCTAAGCTTACCGTCGTTCAAGAAACATGAGAATGGGCTGCAGAGGTCCTACGATTGTTCCAGAACCTCGAAATCCCACACAAACCCTTCCAACGTTCTCCAAAACTGTCGTACTCTCTGCTGATCTCTTCTAGGTCTCACCCCCACTTCTGCTGGGTTACAGGGCAACACAACTCACCCCAGCTCCGACCAGCGTCGTCCCGGCAGAATCAACACTAAACAGTTCCAGTTCTTAACGGTTTTATCTGGCACCTTTCCTTTGAGGGTGAAGAGGATACTATTTTGGCCTGCTCAGTCAATCCCCTGGGTGGCAGGGCAATTAATGCTGGCAGACTTCTTATTTTCTGTATTTGGGACGCTGGACCCGTTTTCCAGCAGGTGATGCTCCCCACCAATAGATGGAGCTTCACCCCAGGTGTTAGTGGTGTCTTCTCTTATCAGCAGCACTAACACTGTTGGGGGCGTTGTTGTTTTTTTACATTATAAATAAGAAGTCACCACCTTTACAGGGATGCTCACCTGTACTTTACACCTGGGGCTCACCTTTACAGGGACGAGGCTCCCAACAGTGGTAGTGCCAAGCCAGCCAAGCTCACCTTTACAGGGACGCTCACCTGTATCAGCAGCACGAACACTGTTGGGGGCTCCATCTATTGGTGGGGAGCAACACCTGCTGGAAATCGGGTCCAGCGTCCATGTAAAGTACATTTAAAAAAAGAAATTAAAAAATAACAAATTGCATTTTAAATGTACTTTACAGGGACGCTGGACCCGATTTCCCCACCAATAGATGGAGCCATCCTGTCACTGCTAGTGGTGTCTGATTATATCAGCACCCCTAGCAGCCGCTCGGGCTGTTCCTTTCAAAGAAAGGGAAAAAAAAAAAAAAAAAAAAAAAAAAAAAAAGTGGCATTCATTCAATCCCCATTGGCCTCATGTACCTTCCTGGGGCATGCTTGGCTTGGCGCCCACCAACTAGAGATATAGACCACTGGATCCCCCGATAGGCATTGAGCAGAGTCTGCTGATGTTCGTAGAGGAGGGGGGGGACCAGCACCTGAGGGGAGGCACCAGGGATTGGTCCTGTCCTGTTGGCATGGTCCCTGGTGCTACCGGCTGTCCCCTTCCCCTAGCCGGTATCGCCCACCTGCAGGTCGTGAGCAGCCCCAGCATTGTTCTCTCGTGAACACGATTCTGCCTGCCACGGGGTTCCCCGTAGGACTATAAAACCAACATGAAAAAAAAAGGGGAAAAAAAAAATGAGTAGTGGTAGGTAGGTGAAATTGAGAGAAAAAAATAAGGAGGGTCCTTCTAAAAAAAAAAAAACTGGAGGGGGGGGCGCGCGAAATGTGCGCTAACGAAGCGGCGATAGCAGTGGTGGCGGCGCCCCGTCGTCAGCGGCGGCTGTGTAGGACGCAACGTCGGGGCATGTGGATGCTGATTTCTTCCACGAGGCGCCTACCCTGCCAGGCACCATAGCTGTGTGAGAGCTATGGGGACAGTGCCCTGGCGTAGCCTAGCCCTTGAGTGGGTAGGGAGTGCCTTGCACTCTTACGCCATGGCATCCTGGCAGCTCCGTACCTGACCTCCATACCAACTATCATACCTAACAGAATCTTGATACCAGAGGAGCCGTCCTTCCCTCAAGCTTTCTGCTGGAAAGGGGGGGCTCCTTTTTCACCATCCAAAGTCCGCGTGCTGTATTTCATGACACGCCATCCCGACTGCCTCGACCCCAGGAAACACATGGAAGGCGGAGCGGCGCATCTGAGCATGCGGCTGCAGTGGCAGCGTTCCGGCATGTCCAAGGGCTACAACAAGTCTCGTCTGACCTATCTACGTTGCAAGGCAGTCTGAAGTTCATTCACTTCATGTTATGTTATTGTTGATTTGTCTTCTACATTCTGTGTAGTTTTTCGTTTGATGTAGTTTGAAGGGTTTTGTCCGTTACTTTTCAGTGGCCCTAACTCCTCTGCCCTTTGCCCGCCTTCTTCTTTCCCACTCATTCCTCTTTTCCCTGCTCGTTCCCTTCCTTGCTCTTCCTGGTCTGTGCTTCTTTCTATCTTTCCGTCATCGTTTCGCGGCCGACCGCCTGTGTGGGTAAAGCGATTCTCTGTTCCTTTGTTTCTTTCTCCACCTTGTTTCCCTCCCTGAAATCTCTTCTGCTAACATGACGGCGACTGCAGCTCGGTGTACCCCGTACTTGCTCTATTCTTCTTCTGGGTTGCTTCTGGGTTGCTTCCCGTTTGACTGAGCGTTCCCTAATCTGCTTACGACTTAATCGCCTTTGAGTTCTATAATAGCTGGTTATGAGTGGGGTGTCGCTTCGTTCTTCTTCGTTTCTCCCTTGCCTTCCCCCGCTTTCTGTCGATCTCTACTCTTCATCGCTCACGCTGGTTTAGGGTTTTCATGTATGGTTGAGATTCACAGATTCTCGATATTCTTAAGCACTGGAGTATGTTTGCAGTGGTTTAGGGTGATACTCACAGGATTGGGATGATATGAGAGACCCGGTGAAGAGCAAACTAGAGTTGTATCCATTGGGTGCGTGGTGGGAAACCCGTCTAGGCAACAAAGGCTCTTTACAGCATTTTGGATAATGAGCTTGAGAGGGTAACCCTAATGTCCATTCCTCCCTCCCAACTCTTAGTCATTGAGATTGTTCTTTTAGTTCGATATTTTGTAGATCTTCGGAATTTGGATTGCCATAAAGCCCTGAAGCCCTGTGGGTGGCGGCGCCATCAGCGGGAGTGGGAGACTCACTAGTGGCGGTGGGAACGTCTCCYGGGCGCGAAGGGTAAAATAATTGCCAGCCATAACCGCGTTTGGAGTTACCGGGTCGTTTACGCTCCAAGAGTGGTTGAATTCTAAGCATAGGAACAGTGACACAGGGTCACCCATGCCTTGAGTGGTGCGGGGAGTGTGTTATGCTCGACTTTGTGCCACCTGGGAAAATCTTGCTCGTATCCTCTCCACTCATATATTCTGTGGGCGCAGTTATGCATCTCCCCCTCCCTTTGAATTTCCTAGGAGTCTCTGTATGTGGCCGCTCTCTTGGTTGTTGTTTTCAATTGGTTATTTTTTGTAGACAATATTAATACGCCCATTTTAAAATTTAGTATGTACTTGGATTGAAGTTTAGAATGAAATTGTATCTAAGAATTTAATTTGCCTTTGCAAGTAATTTTAGGGTTAAACTGTAAAATTTTCGTGAATTGCCTTGGGCATTTTTTAGATTTGCAGATTATAGCTCGTAGTTCTTTGCCAATAGTGTTTCGTTCCTAGAAACATGCCGGTGTTTTCTTGTGCAGCAAGGATATTTTACGGCTATAAATTTGCTTCGCAATTTTTATTTTTGGAGATTTCTTTAAGGGACACTGGACACGGTTTCCAGTAGCCTAAGCTGAGTATTGGTCTCAGCAGATTTGTACCGGGTTGATATGTAGGGGTGTGTTCCCAGGGCCTGGTGGTCTCATTGGAATGAAAATGTTATGTTTCTCAAAAAATAAAAATAAAAAAAATTGAGGGCATACTCACATTAGCACGTACTTCTGCAAATTTTACGTATGTGAATTTGCGTTTATATGGCACCTGCGGGTCACACTGCTCACCCGTTTTTTGCCCAAAGTAGAAAGGACAGGGTCGCGACCTGGCTTTGAGATGCGAAAATACGTTGTGTGCAGTCAGACGGCACAATGCACTTCAATTTATTTTTTTTTGCTTCAGGAAAGCAGTAGAGGAAAAAGAAATACGATTTTGTGGGGACCTCTGGAGGTCCCCACAAAATATGTAAGCCCGCGGCTGTCCAGGCCGCTGACATTTACGTGCCCTTTCGTGTGAACACACAAAATGCGTGCCGCTTGTGACCCGAAAAACTACATAGGGGCTCGTTAGACACTCCTTGTGGACCCAAAATCCACAAGGAAGTGCTTGTTCCACCTGTCCTTGGGGACGATTCGCGAAAAAAAATGTGAAAACATCACAAGGAAATTTCCTTGTGGCGTCCTTGTGGCTACAACCAATTTTTCCTAATCCCCAAGGGACCTCCTGAGGTCCCTCGGAACACAAGGAAGCGCGAAATTCGAAGCGGCGAAGGCATGTGTCGACACATAGTTTCGGTTTGAGGGTGGTTCAGACGTGGTCCACCGAACGGGAGCACGGACATCCCTGCCCTCCACCGTCTTGGAGGCACCCCAACGGCTCCAAACGGTCACCGTCCACGTGAGGCCTCCGTCCGACGAACCGGCCGTCGCCGACCGGTGTCATGCGTTCTGCCGCGCTGGGAGATCGTCGACAACGGTCAGAAATTCGAATGCTTTTCCGCGCCGGTGCTATGTTCGACGACGACAGATGGATTTGGGAAGATCGTTGTCGTCACGCCTTGCACGTCGGAGCACAAATCTTCCCTCGCTTTTTCTTCTGTCGATGGAGTTCTTCGTTGGACGGTCGACCACTCACGTGGAGCTGCTGCCCTTTCCACGACCCTTACATGGCCGACCTGCTTCACAGGCTGCCTCTGCTACTCGTCGTCGTGCTGCTTCTCATCGTTGTCTTCTTCCACGTGTGTTTCGTCGGCCTGCTCCCTGTCGCGGCTCGCAAAAGGAGATCTTCCAAGAACGGCGACAGGATGGATCGACAACTTACCAACGGCAGACCGACAGGCACGACAATCGCCACGAGCAATCGGCAACGCACTGCGGGGGCTGTGGCGAAGCAAGCGTACGACCCGACGTTGTATGCTCACCTGCCTTCGCATGATCGGATGACGAGGGGGAAGACGTCAGGTCATCAACTATGCTGTTGGGAAGTGGTTCCACGCAGGATCGGGCGGCAACGCAGTCCTACGGTGGCAGGCGGGCGGAGACCCCGTGGTCTTACACTTCACTGCTAAATGAGGGGTTGTGCGACGACGATGGCAATGCAGCGGTCGATCTTAGCTTCCAGTTGTCGAGCAACAGCGGAGCAGCGACGACACATACTCGCATCATCAATCCCTACCCAGATGGGGATTACGCGGAGCAAACGATGGTTGGTCCGTGCCGGGCGTGAGAAGGCTGCCTACCTCAATCGCTTCGCGAGGGCGGAGGGAATCGAAATGTGTCCTCGAGGCATGGCAGAGGAGGAGTCGACGAGGATCAACGTCCGGAATGGACGCGCTTATCACTTGCGATGCGAAACGGATCCGGGACTCTGCATGGATGGCAATGACAGGAGGACGCGTCCGCGGCAGTTGCGCACGTGGAACGAGACGGTAGGCAGCTGTAGGCAGAGTGCAGGCAGGCCTTGCGTCAAGCTGGAACGGACACAATAACGAGAGGGGTGCAAGGGCTCCGCGTCGACGAAGGCAACGATGCGGCTGTTCAAGAGCCCCTCGACTTCGACGACGTTGACGGTGACGACGATTGCAACTCGGACGATTTACCTGAGATTAGGCCGCTTGGGAGGAAGGTGAGGAACGACGGTGCGAGTGCAAAGAAGGGTTCCACTCCGAGAAATCGGCGGAACAAGAAAATGAACGACGACACAGGCGGGAGCGATGGCGAGGGCGCTCGGAATTTTTGGTCCGTCAAAGACACGATCGCACTCGTGAGGGCGAAAAGGGATCAAGATCTGTATTTTGCAGGCATGGAGCACAATTTTGGCCGCATGAAGACCAGGGAATGGAAGTGGGAGGACGTGCGGTCCAGGTTGCAGAAGATGGACGTCACGAGGAAGGTCGTCAACTGCGGGAAGAAATGGGACAACTTGATGCAGCAATTCAAGAAGGTTCACAAGTTTCAGCACCTCTCCGGTGGGAAGGACTACTTCAAGCTTGCTTCATCGGCTAGGAGATCGGAGGGCGTCAACTTCATCATGGACCGGAGCGTGTACAAGGAGATGGAGGCCATGACGAAGGGGGATCACACCATCCACCCGAAGAATTTGGCGGACACGGGGGTGCCGGGGGCGGTTCAGATGCCGGCAGGTGCGGGGGCTGGAGGGGAATCCATGGGCTGTGAGGGTGGAGGGGAGCCCGTCGACGAGGAGCAGGGGTCGACGAAAGATTCGACATTCAGCGCGGGGAGCGCTGGCGGTTCTGGGAAAAGGAAGAACATGTGGCAACAAACCTTTGAGGCTGTCACCGAGGTCATGGACAAGCATGGTGCGCTCATGGCGAGCACGATGGACAGCGCGAGCAAGCGCCAATGCTCTATGATGTTACGACAATGCGACATGGAAGTGTAGAGGAAACATTATGCTGCGGCGGATGAGGCGAACAGAATGATGTGCAACGCCCTTATGGAGATAGCGAAAGCCATCCGCGAGAGATCATGACGACACTACTGTTTAGTGTCGCTTTACTGTCCTGTCTCTCCGTCTACTGCGACTGCGACGATGTCGACCTGTGTGTGGGGGGGGGGAGGGGAGGGATGCTCGCACTATCATTTGTGCACGACGATTTGAGAGACGTCCAGTTGATGTTTTTTTAGATTTTGTGTGTCGTCGGCATATGATTTGCAGTTCCTTTCTTTTGTTTTTTGTTTTTGATCTTCTTCATATTCCAGGAGAGCGCTGCGTCCGTGTTCGGCGATCTCGAAAGCGACAGAGCCAGGTGTTAGAGGGGTTCTGTGGGTTGGGGATTGTGGAGGAGGGGGTCGTCTCGGTGGTTGGGAAGAGGGGTTGGGGGGGGGGGGGGGGGGGAGAGGTCGTGGGCAGCGGGGAAGTTTTTGTTTTTGTTTTTTTTGGTTCCCTGGCGAGTGCATGGACGCGCGTCAGCAGGGGCGTGGAAGGGCCTGTTGGCGGCTTGGGGAGGGTGGCAGTGACAACAGAAGAAGAGTGTGTGCGCATACGCGGTCTGGAATGCTGCGGTCGCACGTGTCACTGTCAATGTGCTGATTGACGCATGAGAAGAAGCGAAGTTGAGGCCCGTCCATCTGCTCCGTCTCATTCAGGCATCTGCGTCCCGTCCCTCATAAAGGTCTTCCGCTTGTGGTGTCTCCACCACAGAAGCCCGCCACACGTGCTGCACAGCAAGCACAACCACGCGGGACGCCCTCCAGCTTTTAGCCTCCTCGCCGTGGACATCTCTCGCCTCCTCGCCAGGGACTTCTTCAGTGTCGTCGAGGATCACCGCCGTAGCTCTTCTCACCTTCTCGTCACGTGGAGATTCGGCGCCGTACTCTCCTTGTGTTGGCGCCGCGGTGCTCCGTGGACACGTTGATGTTCGGCGAGTGAGGACTTTGGGCCAATCCACGGCGGAGCACTCTCCTTATCACGGCGGATCTGTCTCGCCACGTGGACGTTCGGCGCCGCCGCTCTTCTCTTCTTCTCGCCGCGGAGCAGTCTCGCCGGGGTCGTTGTCCTCCCCTTGTACACGTGGACGTCGTGCTCATCTGTGCACCGAGGACACTTCTTCTTCATCGTCGCAAACGCAGTCGTCGCCTCGCGCAATCCGTACGTGAGACGCTGTTCTCACCAGATCGACAGAACTCCCATCGGAGGTCGACCCTCTATTCCCACTCACCACCTCCTACACACCCAACACGGAGCAAAGCGGCACATCACCTACTCACATCACCGGTGAACTTCGCTGACTGTTGGTTTCCACCGCCCGCTGAGCCAGGAAAGTACTCATGAGGGACGTCAACCATCCACGCACCACAGACATCACAGTCGGAGCGCCCCCCTAAGAGTCCTGCAGGCACTCCAAACTACCAACCACCGACTATTTAGCACTTCTAGGGTGCTCATGCAGACACACACAAAGCAGTTGGAAAAACAAAATCAAGAAAGCCGAAATGAGGAAGACCATGCACAAAAATGATTGTGTGTGTGTGTGTGTGTGTGTGTGTGTGTGTGTGTGTGTGTGTGTGTGTGTGTGTGTGTGTGTGTGCGCGTCTGATGATCGTGTGTATATAACACACAATGTATATGCTCCAGCATGTGACGTGCTCTGAACCACCACCCATCATAAAGACCTGCCAACGACCATTATCCTCTCACAGCCCTCAATATGAATACCCCGTTGAGACAGACATTTTTATGCATGTTTTTTGGGATGGGTAGATTTGTGAGGAGGGGATGGACTACGGAATGGGCTTGACGGACAGTCAATTCTTCCGACCAGGAAGCAATCAATGGTGTCAGGGTTCCCCGGGCCGTAACTTGGGGGAAGTGTTGCACTACTCCTTTCTGACTTGCCGGTGGAAGAGGAACCGGACTGCCGCTCCCAGAATAGGAGCCTGGTTCCGCCCCCCCCCACCCAAAAAAAAGAAGAAGTTTTACCCAGGGTAGAAATCGACAAATTCCCAAAGATGCATTCCAATGCTTCCCAGCCACATATGACCCAGGTGACCCCAGAAATTACACTTGACAAAGGCTATGTACTGGTCACAGTACACAGGGTACAAGAACCACAAACAGAGGCACAAAGGGTTAATGGCAGACTGTTTGTCAGATTCTCGCTGACTCATCAGGAGGCTGAACCATCGACAATCTGCAGAACCCCCATATTGTTCAGACTCTACAGAGTAAATGACCAGGCAGAGTGACACCACAAGAAGCCAGGCAGGCAAGCAAGCAAGCAAGAATCAAAGTCAAGTGGCAAGGGGTCAAGCAGGCAAGCGGGCACGCAGCAAGGGAGGACAAGGCAAGAGGGTAGGCAGCCTAGCAGCCTGGCAGCAGTAAACCACGTGGTGGGCAGGCAGGCACAAAGCCGTTAGCAGGGCAGGGAGCAAGGTGAGGAGAAGCGGATGAGAAACGCCAAGTAGGAATCAGTAGGCAAAGCAGCTGAGTGGCAAGGCCGCACCAACAAGGCAGTCCACGTATCCAACACGAATGAAAGCAGATCATCACCTACTCACACCACAAGTAGAACTCCACAGACTGTTTGTTCACACCACCATTGGGGTCAGTGACTCACTTTCACGAGTGTCTGTCATCACCAGGGAACACAGGCACACAGGCATCCGGAACTCAGAAAGCCCCCTTATTAGTGTTGCAGGCACTCCACACAAAGAGCCACTGACTATTTAGCACATCTTGAAGGTACTCACTGTGACACAGGAGATCACATGGCACACAAAATGAACACACCACAAAGAAACGACTTATAACAACAGAAAGGAAAGAAGTTAAAGATAATATGATTGTGCGTGTATTTGTGACAAGTGCTTACACACCATCTGCTTTATGTGTATTTGACTTGGGAGCCAAGAATGTTGCTGGCACCCGGGTTGCGTGCTTGCCTGACATGCTGTCTGTGCCTCGTTTTGTTTCTTCGCAGATCGTCATGGAGATATGTCGATTCCGTTTTGCTTGGGGAGACAGATCCTTGACCTCGGAATGGAATTTCATTTGTTGATATAAAGGTGAAAGGATTCACAGGCTGCTGCAGTACCGCCCCAGTACTGTGTCCCATTTTCTTCTGTGCCATAGCCGCAGTAGAAGTAGGGCAGTAGGAATAAGGCGAATGTATCCAGCGTTATGATTCTCATTTTAGTAGAGGCAGAGAGTTCAAGAGAGAGAGAGTTCAAGAGAGAGTTCAAGAGTTCAAGAGAGAGTTCAAGAGAGAGAGAGAGAGAGAGAGAGAGAGAGAGAGAGAGAGAGAGAGAGAGAGAGAGAGAGAGAGAGAGAGAGAGAGAGAGAGAGACGACGAACGTGGACCCCTAGTTTCATTCATTTTTTTAGGGGGCACCCAGATTAGGGTGAAGTGGCAGATAGCGAGGTTATACGAATTGCAAGCGTCAGTGTACTGAAGATTGAACGTATGCTACGACTCAGAAGTTAGGAGTGAAAAAAAAAAAAACTTCATCTAGATCAAGCGACAAATTTTCAACGTTTGTTTCCCCCAACTGCAGACTTCCCCCGAACACAACCCACTGCTTTGAACCACTTAGATTCACATTCCAATCACATGCACCATGAGAGTTCACACAGAAATGCACACCGAAGGCCAGAGATGGGAACACCAGATTAGCGCAGCTTAAGAAACTTCATGTATACAAATTCGGAGTTCGAGTTACGCAGCGCTCATCAGGGCAATAGCCACAGATTCAACCAGGTATGCAACTCAGTTCACTCTTCATGTCTCTCTCTCTCTCTCTCTCTCTCTCTCTCTCTCTCTCTCTCTCTCTCTCTCTCTCTCTCTC